ACCGGCGGAAGGGGTGACGGCGGGGAAGGCGCCGGCGGCAGGGGAGACGACGAGATGCGGAGCATGCGGCAGCCCTACTCGGGAGGCTGGCGCCCGCCGTTGAGAGCGGACCTCGAGCCGGCCAGGAGGGACGCCCGGGGGCTCCGAGGACGACGACCTACTGATGCGGAGCGTGCGGCCCCGCACCCAGTCGCCTAGCTTCGGTGGCGGGACCCAAGACCTTGGAGATGGCTCCGCCGACGAGAGCTGCTTGCCGTACGACCCTAGCTGCCTAACGTGCGGGCAACAGGGCAGGGTGTGCAAGGGGTGCGGGGGACATGTCGTGCCCGCCGACACCCCGCCACCCTCCCCGACCATGCCAGGGCCGCCCCTCCCCAGGGTCCACGCCCAGTCGCCTAGCCACAGTGACAGGACCGCCTGACACCATCAGCAGCCAACGGCACAACGAAGACGGGACGATGATGGCAGCTGGCGATGCGGGGGCCCCCGTGCCGTTGGAGCCGACGGGGGCCGGCGCACGGCTGGAGGGGGGGACGCACGGAGGTAATCGTGCTCAAGCCCCCCGCCCCTCCGCCGAGCAAGGGGGGAGACAACCGAACCGGCCTCGGCGTGGCGAGCTTTGTCTCCTCCAATGCCGGGCCGCACGAGGAAAGCGTCGCTATGATCGTCCGCGGCCACCATGATCGTCGTCGGATGCCGTGTGATTGCGCAAGGCCTGGTCGGTCGCGCTGATCTGAACGACCAAGAAGGTCTCGTGATAAGCTACAGCCCGGAGAAAGGGCGCTTCGGTGTAAGATTCGGCGAGGCGGACGAGGCTTCGGTCAACGTCAAGCCGATCAACCTCCGCCTTCCCGAGGACGAGAGCGACTACAACAGCCGTCCGGAGTCGAACCCGCGCGACGAGTGCGGCATTTGTCTCACCGAGCTGCCAGCCATGGGGCAGCAGTGCTTCTACCAGGCATGCTGTGGCAAGATGGTGTGCATCGCGTGCAAGCACAGCATGTCCACCCAAGGCGCCGAGCAGCGCAAGTCGGTGCCGTGCGCCTTCTGCCGCGCGCCGCCCGAGGCCGACCTGTACGAGCGCATGCAGCGCCTCGAGTCGCGCGCGGCCAAGAACGACTCGCGCGCCCACTTCGAGCTGGCGGGCTACTACTTCCTTGGGCGCGCGTCGCGTGTGGACGTCGACATGGGCGTGACGCACGTCAACGCTGCGCTCGACCTCGGCTGCGCGCAGGCGCAGTTCCATTACGGGATGTTCTACCAGAACGGCTGCTGGGCAGGCACTCACGTACCCGGCGTGCGGATCGACCTTGCGCGCGCGGCGGACCTGTACACCCTCGCCGCCGAGCAAGGCCACGACCACGCGGGCATGAACCTGCAGCTGATGCTGCTCGGCGGAGGCCCGGGCAGCGCGGCGTGGGACCCGGGCCGGGCGATGGGCATGCTGCACCGCCTCGCCGAGGAGCACCACTCGACGTACGCGCACCACAGGCTCGGGTGCATCTACCATGGCCTGTGGCCGCCCTCGGGGCCGGTCGTCGAGAAGAGCGCCAAGCAGGCCATCTCGCACTACCGTGTGACGGCCGAGATGCCGATCGAGTCGCTGCTCAACTGCCCGGCCTGCAAGGCGAAGCCGCTCGGCATGCTCTGCCCCTTCGACTGCACGTCCAAGCTCGGCCAGGTCTCCGAGAGCAGCTACAACCTCGCGTGCCTCGCGGCCGTGGCGGGCGCGCAAGACGAGGCCCTCGAGTGGCTCGCAAAGGCCGTCGCGACCGGTTTTAACAAGCCAGACGTCGCCTTCCTCCCTGCGTTCGACGCGCTGCTCAAGAAGATGCGCGGCAAGAAGCGGACCGGCCCGAAGTCTCGGGCAACAACATCTCGGGCAAGCGGCGCGGACCAGTGACGGACGGCGTGATCGATCGGTGAAGAAGGGCCAACGAGCATGACCGAGATGCCGTACAGCGTCGAGGTGGCACGTCGAAGTTGGTGCGCTGGCCGATGAAGATGTCGGCGATCTCGGCGAGGGTCACCTCCTCGAGGAAGACGCACTCGTACTCGTAGAGCCCGCCCTGCAGCCCGTTGACCTGCGTGAGCGTGGTCGCCACGTCGGCGCGGTGCGTGATGAGGAGCACGAGCTGGCGCGCCGGCTCGCCGCCGTCGCCCGTCGGCCGGGAGCGGGCTCGTATGCCACGTCGCCGCCTGTGTTTGTTTCTATGTTTGCGATTTGGGTTTTGGATTTTCTAGGATTCTTTGTTTATTTATTTAGCCTGCGAGAGCGGCACACTGCGCGCCTTTGACCTCGAACCTCGTGCGGGGACACCCGAATACTTGAGATCACCCTTGTTCAAAGCCGACCCTAAGCGCCATCCAAGCATCCTCGCCTTCCTGCTCTCACCCGAGGCTGCTCTTTCCGCGCCTCCTTGGCCCCCTTGTGCGTATTTTCTACTCCCAGTCCTGGAGCCCATTGGCCATTACTGGAGCCTGGTCCCCGGGACCCCTCTTGTGTTCCTTCCTGTTTTCTGTTTTTCAAAACGCCGCCCGCCCGCGGCCTAGGGGGGACACCCGGCCCCTTACTAAGGGAGACGTCGAGGGGTCCCGTACCATGCGGAACCGACCCTATCCAGTGCTCAAGTGCTCAAGGGAGACGGGCGGAGGTCTAACCCGGCCGTTTGCTATAAGCAGTGTTGAAGGGGAACGAAGAAGAGAAGCCATCCCCCTCATTGGTTGCCACGCCGTCAGCATCTGCCGATCGAGTTTTGCGGCACGTGCCTCATGCCTGCCACCTAGTCTCTGCTTCCCCCCCATACGCAACCGACGCGCGAGCTCATCTCTGGCCAGGTGACCAAACTATACTCAACAAGATGTCTGATAAGGACACTGAAGCCGCGGCGAACTGCGAAGTTTGCCGAGTCAAGTGCTGGACGAGGGAAGGCTTCTTCGGAAAGTACTCCTGTAAGTCGGCGCCGCCTCCCACAGCGCGTGTAGTAAACAGCGAACACTGACGCTTCTCACCCGCCCTGCCCGCCCCCGCAGACAAGTACTTGTGCACCCCGACGGTGTCGTGCCTGGGGAAGGGCGCAAATGCTCCCATGTGGCTCGGTAAGGACGAGAAGCTGCCTCTCCTCCTCTCCGTCGTCCTCGGCCTGCAGCACTGCCTCGCGATGCTTGCGGGCATAGCCACGTCCGGAGGACTCCTCATCGCCGGCGACACCTGCATGGCATTCCAGTCCGACTCAACCATGCGCGCTGCTTCCAGTCGGCCTCCTTTGCCTCTCTCCACCTCTATCCCCACGCCTCTTCTGTGTACGACAGGTGTGCGCTCCAGCCCTTCATGGTCTCCACGTCATGGCTGGCGTCTGGCATTCTCACCCTGATCCAAGTCTTCCGCTGCAAGATCCGGGGCACGCCCTTCTACCTCGGCACAGGACTTATCTCTGTGATGGGCACCTCCTTCACCTTTCTCCCGATCGCACGCGAGATGACGACGGCGTACATCCAAGACGCAAAGAACACTGGCGACCCGCGCTGCGTGACCCTCGACTCTGGCGTCATCGACTGCCCGCGAGTCGGCATGGAGGGTTATGGCGCCTTCCTCGGGACCTGCATGGTCGCCTGCTTCCTCGAGATCGCCATCTCCTTCATCCCTTCAAGGTCCGAGCCCAGGGCTGCCCCAGCAGCGCACTCCCACGCACTCCCACACGCACTCCCACGCACCCGCAGGATCCGCGCGAAGATGTTTCCTCCGGTTGTGCTCGGCGTGGCAGTCATGATGATCGGCGCCGGCCTCGTCTCGTCGGGCATCAAGTACGTTGGCGGCGGAGTTTTCTGCGGCGAGAACATGGCGACGAGGGCCGCAGCCTTTGGCTCGGGCCCCCAGATTTGCAACGAGAACGGCGACGTGACGCTTGCCTTTGGCGCGCCGCAGCACATCGGGCTCGCGGCCTCGGTCATCCTCTTTGGGGTCGTGCTGAATGTCGCCGGCTCGCCCTTCCTCAAGTCGACGTTCCTCTTCTGGGGCCTCGTCTTCGGCACCATCGTCGCCGCGATCTCCTCGTACACCGACGACGAAGGCATCCAGTACGACTACTTCGGCGACAGCGCGAAGGAGAAGGTTGACGCCGCGCCGGCGTTTGTCTTCTTTTGGTCCGAGGACCAGTTCCCGATCTCCTTTGACATCGTGTACCTGCTTCCCATCCTCCTCGCGACCTACATCACGACCGCCGAGACAGTGGGCGACGTCACCATGACAGCCCTTTACTCTGGCATCACCGACCCGGAGGACGTCAACGAGCGCATCCAAGGCGGCCTGCTAGCCGACGGCGTGAACTCGTTCCTGGCCTGCTGTTTCGGCACGGCGCCAAACACGACTTTCTCGCAAAACAACGGCATAATTAAGCTCTCACAGTGCGCCTCCCGCTCCGCCGGCTTGGCGTGCGCGATCTGGCTCATCCTCCTCGGCATCTTTGGGAAGTGCGCATGTCCCGCTCCGGGGGGGCATCCCGCCCCGCGGGCCGCCCCGACCCATCCCCCCCCCCCCCCCCCAGGATCGGCGCCGCCTTCACCACCATCCCCATCGCGGTCGTCGGCGGCGTGGTCCTGCAATGCTTCACGATGGTTTTCGTCGCGGGTATGTCCATCGTCGCGCCGACCCTCAACCGGCGCAACTCGTACATCGTTATGC